CATGTTGTTGAAAATGGCAAGATTTAATTCCTTTTTACGGGTGAGGAATATTCCACTTTACATATGTACCACCTACCTCTTCTTTTATCCATTCACATATCGATGGACACTTAGGTTGCTTCCTTATCTTGGCTACTGTAAATAAAGTTGCAATAAACATAAGGGTACATATATCTTTTTGAATTAGTGTTTTGGATTTCTTCACATAAATACCCAAAGTGGAATTGCTGGGTCATATGGTAGTTCTACTTCTAACTTTTTCAGGAACCTCCATACTATTTTCTATAGTGGTTATATCAATTTACAATGCCATCAAGTGTCCAAGGGTTCCCTTTCTCCACATCCTGACCAACAGTTGCTGTTTGTTGATTTATGGATGATAGCCGTTCTGACAGGTGCGAGGTGACATCTCATAATGTACTTCCCTCATGATTAGTGATATTGAGCAACTTTTCATGTCTATTGGCTATCTGTATGTCTATTCAGGTCCTCTGTCCACTTTTTAATCGCATTGTTTATATTTTTGGTTAAGTTGTATGAGTTCCTTATATACTTTGGATATTAACACATTATCAAATGTATCACTGGCAAATATCTTCTCCCATTAGGTTTTATTTTTGTTACACTGATGGTTTCCTTTGTTGTGCAAAACTTTTTACTTTGATGTAGTCTGATTTGTGTAGTTTTTCTTTTGTTTACTTTGTCAGGGAGACACATCCAAAAAAACTATTACTAATAACAATGTGGAAGAGTTTACTGACTACATTTTCTTCTAGAAGTTTTCGGACCTTACATTTAAGTCTTTAATCCATCTTGAGATTATTCTTGTATGTGGTGCAAAAAAGTGATCCAGTTTCATTCTTTTGCATGTATCATCTAGTTTTCCCAAAATGAGCTATTAAATAAACTGTCTATAACCTCATTGTATGTCCTTGCCTCCTTTGTCAAATATTAATTGACTATATAGGCATGGGTTTATTTCTGGGCTCCAAATTCTGTTCCATTGACCTATGTGTCTGTTTTTATGCCAGTATCATGCTGTTTTGATTACTACAGTCTGGAAGTATAGTTTGATATCAGTAGCATGATATCTCCAACTTTGTTCTTTCTCAAGATTGCTTTAGCAATTAGAGTCTTTTATGTTTACATATACACTTATGGAATATTAGTTCTAGTTCTGTGAAAATTGCTTTGGTATTCTGACAGAGATTGCAGTGAATCTGTTGGTGGCTTTGGGTAATAGGAACATTTCAACTATATTAATTCTTCCTATCCATGAGCCCGGTATTGTCTTCCAATTATTGGTATCATTTGCAATTTCTTTCTTCAATGTCTTATACTTTTCTGAGTACAGGTCTTTTTTACCTCCTTAGTTAAATTTAGTCCTAAGTATTTTATTCTTTTTGATGCAATTATAATTGGGACTGTTTTTCTTTGTTTCTCTTTGTGATAGTTTATTATTCCTATATAAAAATGCAACCAGTTTCTGAATGTTAATTTTACATCCTGCTACTTTACTGAATTCATTTATTAGTTCTAACAGTTTTATGGTCAATTCTTTAGGGTTCTCTATATATAGCATCATGTCATCTGCAAATAATGTCAATTTTACTTCTTTCCAACTTGGATGCCTTTTATTTCTTTTTCTTCTCTGATGTGGCTAAGAGTTCCAATACTATGTTGAATAAATGTGGTTAAAGTAGACATCCTTGTCTAGTTTCTATTTTTAAAGAAAAAATTTCAGCATTTTAACAGATATGATGTTAGCTGTAGGTTTGTCAAATATGGCCTTCATTATGGTAAGGTACATTCCCTCTATCCCCAAGGTGATGAGGTGGGGGGGTTTTTTGGTTTTTTTTTATCATACACTAGAGGCCCAGTGCACGAATTCATGCACAGGTGGGGTCCCTTGGCCTGGCTAGTGATTGGAGCCAAGTGGGGCTGTCTCACCCAGTCCTGATAGGCCAGACCCAAGCAGCAAGCTAACCTACCAGTCGGAGTGTCTGCCCCCTGGTGGTCAGTCCTCATCATAGTGACTGGTCAAGCAGTTTTGCTACATAATAATTAGAACTAGTTGAAAAAACCAGGAAGCAGACACGCTTATTCAGCAAATAATGAACTACGGACAAAATCAAATCAAACTAATCAAATTGAATCAAAATCGAATCACCAACTCACAATCCTAATAAACCAGCTAAATACTGTCAAAGAAAAAAAAAACCTGCAGCTGTTTTGTTTTGTTTTGAATTTACAGTATGGTTATTATCACTAAAGGCCAATTATTCTTTTTTCCACTCATGGTCCAATGCACAAATCCAAATTTAATTGCATAAAAAGTACCAAGTTCACCAATGACAAGTGGGACTGGAAAAATTACCAAAAGACAGGAAAATAAACCAAATAGCACTATCACTATCTTTCTAAACTGAAATAAATGAAGAAAGAAGGAGGATTTAAGCACAGGTGTAGACTTAATACTTCCTACAAGAGAATTTATCGAATTATTAAGTTTCTAACATTCTCTAGGTGAAGAGAACAGTAATAGCAGTTAAAATTCCCTTTTTTTTTTTTTCCTTTCCAGGTTTAATTTGAGCATTTCTTAGCAGTTAACATTCTTTGAGCATCTTCTATATGGCAGGCACTAGTGCTAAATACTTACATGTGTTATCTTAATATCAAAACAATTCTATGAAATAGGTACTATTATTATTCCCATTTGCCAGGAAAGGAAACAAAAAGACACAGAGAGGCTAAGTAGTTTAATCCAAGGTCAAAATGCCAGTAACTGAGAGTAAGGATTCAAATCAGAGCAGACTGACATCCAACTTCTTAATGAATAAATCATGCTACTTCTTATCACTGTCACGGTGGTTTCACATGTTCTATATCACTCTAAATTTTTAAAAATTAAAAATTAAAATTTTTTCTTAGAGTCCTGGTACTATGATAAAATCTGTTTCTCCTAGCCATGATCTCCAGGTAACATTACATGATCACAATCAGGTAGCAACAACAAAACACTTTTCAAAGTTCTCATCAGAAATTTTCAGGACAGACATGCAAAAAACTGAGAAAAAGCAAACAATTTTGAAAGAGAACAAAGCTGGAGAAATTCCAGTATCTGCCTTTAAGGATTATTATAAAGCTAGAGTAAGCAAAACTGATATCAAGAGAGGTCAACAGAACAGAATCGAAATTCAAGAAATAGACCCAACACATATATAGCCAATTGATTTTAAACTAGGATGCCATGGTAGTTCACTGCAGGAAAGATAATCTCAATAAAGGGTGCTCGAACACTAGATATGCATATAGGAAAAAATGAACCTTAACCCTAATTTCATAACATATACAAAAATCAACTCAAATTGGTTCACAGACCCAAATGTAAAAGTTAAACTATAAAAAATATAGGAAAAAATCTTAGCAACACTGAATTGGGCAAAGATTTCTTAAATTGGATTCAAAAATTTGAGACAGTGAACTTCATCAAAATTTAAAACTTTTATTCTTCAAAAAGCATGTTAAGGCCCTGGCCTGGTTGTTCAGTTGGTTGGAGCATTGTCCCATACATCAAAAGGTTTTGGGTTTGTTAGGTCTATAGGGCAATATAATCCTTAACGGCCATTTGTAAGCTTTCCGCCACAGGACAAAGCCAGGAAAAACTTGCTAGACACCAGGAATCAGACCATATAAGGAATTGAAACTGTCCTGATGACACCTGATTACACACCTGCATTCCATCCATATTCCAAGCCCACCAAATCAGCCCCCAGACCCAATGGAGACAAAAGCTTCCCACTAATGACTGCATATAAGAATGAAACTCTAGCCCAGCCAGCATGGCTCAGTGGTTTAGCACCAACCTATGAACCAGGAAGTCACAGTTTGATTCCCAGTCAGGGCATATGACCGGGCTGCAGCCTGGATCCCCAATAGGGGCGTGCAGGAGGCAGCCAATCAATGATTCTCTCTCATCATTGATGTTTCTTTCTCTCCATCTCCCTTCCTTGCTGAAATCAATAAAAATATACTTAAAAAAAGAATGAAACTCCACCTCCTGGGTGCTGCCATCATCTACCCAATGTCCCTTTGGCTTGGTGCTGTACAGCCCTTCCCTTTGATATCCCATCCCCTTGTACCCTTTTCCTTAAATAAATTCAATTTTTCTGATATCACCATCTGAAATGGCTACTTAGCCTGCCCACCCACACCACCCATGTTAACCTTCCAAGGTTAGATTCCTGCTCAGGGCACATACCTAGGTTTCAAGCATGATCCCCGGTCACGGCAAGTACGGGAGGCAAGCAATCGATGTTTCTCTCTCACATCTTTCTCTTTTCCTCTCTCTCTAAAAATCAATAAACATCCTCAGGTGAGAATTTTTTTTTTTAAATGGTACATTAAGGGCTCAGCAGGTAAACTCAGTATTCACATCCGCTCACAACCACATCAAAATTATCACTAAATTATAGAACACCGTCATTGAGAACCACCTGAAGTCTAGCTGAACTGAAGTTCTATAACTAAGGATATACAGAAGACAAATAGGAGGGATGGAGACTAGGAACAGGTAGGTCCCACACCCACATGAAGTGGTTAAAAATTGAGAAGCTGTGGAGGTCCCCCATGAGGTATGAAGATAAATCAGATAATAGATTGCATTCTGCCTTTTTTGTTATAAATTAGAATTTTGCCTGAAGTAATTTTTTTTTAGACCCTCAAAATCTTCTGTACCAAAGAGCATTTTCAGTATAACATTCCTCTGCTTACAAATTTACAATAATTTTAAATGGGTTCTGGGCTAGGCATTCTCTGTTTAACCTCAATCTTCCCATACTTAATCTCTATCCTTCCATGCTCTGCTTTGTGCCCTTTAAGGCTGACCACTAGCCCAAGTTCCCTTGGCCTTCAACTGTATCAAGCCAACAAAAGGCAACAGCAGGAAATCAGAGGATGAGAAGAAAAAGAAACTGGGGTCCTTACTTCCCTCTTCTCACCTTGGAACCTTCCCTCTACAGCCACAGGTCCTCTCCACTGGTTTGGCTTCGATTGCTCCAGCTCTCATCAGGCTTCCGTGTTCTTGTTCTTGCCCCCTCTGGCTTGAAAGTATTAATGGCTTCCTGATAGCACTAGGCCCTGGGAACTTCCAATCCCTTGTTGCTTTACTTAATCCTACCCAAACCTCTATAACTAGTTCATTTATTTCCTGCCAGGATACTGAGTGATATAGTTCCCTAGGCTGAAAATTCCTCACTCTGTTTTCCAAGGCTCACAAGCAACTGTTTCTTCCAACCAATCAAATCTTTACCCCATGCTCTTTCCTCAGCCGCCCTCTGTTCTTCTCAGGAAGGCATCCCTACCAATCCTTACCATCCTTCAGCTGGGACATGTTCACTCCCGCCTTACTCATTCTACTACCCCCTAGAATGTCTACCCCCTCTTCCTCTCTTCCTAGCAAATCCTAAACTTCCTTCATGTACCACTTAAATCTGTTCTAATAAGCTTAACCTACAATCTGTCTAATCTTGGAATTTCCATGTCTCTTACAGAGAAGTACTTTGAAACTGTAAAAATAACGTGAGGTATTGCATTGTATGGTCTCTAACTGTTCAATATATAACCCCCAAAGGGAAGTAATCTGAACTATTTTAAGTTCCTTCTTTTATATTCCATCATGGAAGTTAGTATAACATTAGAAATATAGTAACTCTTGTTGAACTCTTGTTACATCACAATGTTCTAGTACAAAAAGTTGATGATAACTAGCTTTAAGCAAATTTACTATGTTTTTAATTATTATTTTCAATATGATTACAAAGAATGGCTGCTACCAACCATAAGATTTTAGAACATCAATGCACTTTATAAAAAAAGAGTCCCTGGGAACAAAAAGAGAAAAGCCAAGTTATCAATTTGTCAAGTTCAACAACCTGTTACACAAATAGATGCAATTAGTGCACAAATGCAAATAGAACTGTCAGCACATGCAGGATACTTCAATTTGTAGCTGACTATTGGTGATGAGCCAGACAATAGAGTTCAACAAAAGGAGATTTTCTAGAGGCTTAAAGAAGCCAGTGGTCCTCACCATACATTGTAGAGAAAAATCTCCTCCCCCTTTCTTTAGAACCTTTAATTTGCTAGCATCTAAAGCTTAAGTCAGAGAAACCAAGATGGCGGCATAGGTAAACACCGGAGATTGCTGTCTCGCACAACCACTTCAAAAATACCACAGGAAGGCTGGCTGAGTGGAAATTCTATAACTAGAAGGAAAGAGAAAAGCGTACCGAGACTCAGAGGAGGTGCAGTGAGGAAGTAAACAAAGGTGCGGAGGTGCATGCGGAGAGGGCTGGCGGCTGAGGTCATGATTGTCTTTTTCAATCAGGAGGGAGTCTCAGGCTCTGAGCTCCAGTTCCAGGCGAGTCTCTTGGGACCCAGACTCATACGGGGAGAAACGGGACTGTCTGGAATCGGTCGGAACTCGCTGGCAGCTTTCTCTTGGAGGCACACACAGCGATTGCTGGGGCCTCTGAGGACAGGACTGAGAGCAGCCATACTGCTCGCTCTGCCCACCCAGTTGATCCACGGGGGGGGGGGGGGGGGGGGGGGGCTGCCCAGCCCAAGCCCTGCACGGAGGCTTTTGCATATGAAAGGCCCGGCCCTTTGTAATCTGAAAATTAGTTAACAAGCTGCAACTGCCCAAGGCCCCAGGGCAACTTGCATTGCTTTATAGCTGGCTTCTGCTGGGTAGCCGCAGGCAGAGGCTAGATTAGCACCTCCTTAGATCCAAAGCCAGTGTACCCAGTGGTCAGAGTGGGACCATCCAATTACAACTCCGAAGATCCTGGAGCTCCAGTGGCGCAATCGGTTAGCGCGCGGTACTTATACAACTCCGAAGATCCATACGGGACACACTCAGGGGTCAGACTCAGTGAGCACCAAAGCCCCACTGAAGCATGTCTTGCCCCAGAAGGGTGTCTTCAGCACAGAAGTTCTCCCACTGCAGACACAGCTGATTCTCACAGCCAACTGGCCTGGAGGTCAATTCCTCCCAGTGTTACCTACAACAATCAAGGCTTAACTACAACAAGACTGTCCACAAAGCCCACAAGGGAGTGCACCAAGAGTGTCTACCTCAGGTAATTGGGGAGGCTGAGCCACTGGGCCCTATAGGACACCTAGCACAGAAAGCCACTCTAGCAACACAGCGAAGCATAAAAAAGGCCGAGACAAAGAAACAGAACACAAATGACAGAAATGGAGGAAAGCAAACTACTGGATATAGAGTTCAAAACCACACTTTTAAGGTTTTTCAAGAATTTTCTAGAAACCGCTGATAAACTTAATGAGACCCTCAAGAAATCTAGTGAGACCCTCGAGGTGTGATAAAGGACCAACTAGAAATTAAGCATACACTGACTGAAATAAAGAATATTATATAGACTCCCAACAGCAGACCAGAGGATCACAAGAATCAAGTCAAAGCTTTGAAATGCGAAGAAGCAAAAAACACCCAACCAGAAAAGCAAAATGAAAAAAGAATCCGAAAATACAAAGATAGTGTAAGGAGCCTCTGGGACAGCTTCAAGCGTACCAACATCCGAATTATAGGGGTGCCAGAAGATGAGAGAGAGCAAGATACTGAAAACCTATCTGAAGAAATAATGACAGAAAACTTCCCCTACCTGGTGAAAGAAATAGACTTATAAGTCCAGGAACCGCAAAGAACCCCAAACAAAAGGAATCCAAAGAGGACCACACCAAGACACATCATAATTAAAATGCCAAGAGCAAAAGACAAAGAGAGAATCTTAAAAGCAGCAAGAGAAAAAAAGTCAGTTACCTACAAGGGAGTACCCATTCGACTGTCAGCTGCTTTCTCAACAGAAACTTTGCAGGCCAGAAGGGAGTGGCAAGAAATATTCAAAGTGATGAATGCCAAGAACCTACAACCAAGATTACTTTATCCAGCAAAGCTATCATTCAGAATTGAAGGTCAGATAAAGAGCTTCACAGATAAGGAAAAGCTAAAGGAGTTCATCACCACCAAACCAGTATTATATGAAATGCTGAAAGGTATCCTTTAAGAAGAGGAAGAAGAAGAAAAAGGTAAAGATACAAATTATGATCAACAAATACACATCTATCAACAAGTGAATCTAAAAATCAAGGGAATACAAATCTGATGAACAGAATGAACTGGTGATTATAATAGAATCAGGGACATAGAAAGGGAATGGACTGACTATTCTTGGGGGGGGAAGGAGTGTGGGGGATGCAGGAAGAGACTGGACAAAAATAGTGCACCTATGGATGAGGACAGTGGGTGTGGAGTGAGGGCGGAGAGTGGGGTGGGAACTGGATGGAGGGGAGTTATGGGGGGGGGGGGAAGAAGAACAAATGTAATAATCTGAATAAAGATTTAATTTAAAAAAAATAAAAATAAAAAAAAATAAAGCTTAAGTCATGGCAATCATAATGTTTTTGATAAATTTATCCTCACTGAACCCAATGACATATCCATTTTATACTTCAAGAAAACATTCTTATGAGGTTTCCTAAAATAAATAATGAAGAAATAGCAAAAATGTTGAAAGTAGGTACTATAGCTAACTCCTCACAAAATCTCAGAATATCAATACGTGAATATGATTTTGAGGAGGAAAAAATAAAATTAAGACTATCTGATGACATCAAAACAAAAGGGGCTGGGGGAGACAAAATAGAACCAATACCTAACTAACTTAAAAGTAACCTTCACTGCTGGTGGGAATGCAGACTGGTGCAACCACTGTGGAAAACAGTATGGCGTTTCCTCAAAAAATTAAAAATGGAACTGCCATTTGACCCAGTAATACCACTTCTAGGAATATATCCCAAGAAATCAGAAACATCAATCAGAAAGGATATATGCACCCCTGTGTTCATAGCAGCACAATTTACAATAGCTAAGATTTGGAAACAGCCTAAATGTCCATCAGCAGATGAGTGGATTAGAAAATTGTAGTACATCTACATAATGGAATACTATGCTGCTGTAAAAACGAAGGAATTCTTACCATTTGAAACAGCATGGATGGAACTGGAGAGCATTATGCTAAGTGAAATAAGCCAGTCAGTGAAAGATAAATACCACATGATCTCACTCATTTGTGGAATATAAAGAACATTATAAACTGATGAACAAAAATAGATACAGAGGCAAAGAAGCATCGAACAGGCTGTCAAATTACAGTGGGAAGGCAGGGGAGGGTTGGGGGGTAGGGTAAGAGATCAACCAAAGGACTTGTATGCATGCAAATAAGTATAACCAATGGACGCAAGACACTGGGGGGGAAAGGGGGGTGAGGGCATGTGCCAGGGGGAAGGGGAGGCCGGGGGGGAGGTCAATGGGGAAAAAAAGGAGACATATGTACTATTATTTGATATGTACTATTATTTGTAATACATTAAACAATAAAATAAAATTTTTAGAAAAGTAACCTTTTCACCTCTTCTAAAGAAAGGAAGGGAGGGAGGAAGGGGAAATCAAAGGGTTGTACCCTAGTACATTCATTAATGAACTAAGTAAGGTCGGTCCTATTTGCACATTTTTTCAAAAGTCTTCTGTAGCTATACAGAGTGAGGTAAAAGTAAGTTTACAGTTGTGAGTACACAAAACACAGAGTTTATTCTTGTATTATTATTTATTAATTATTGTATTATTTTCCAAATGAACAACTATAAACCTACTTTTGCCCTACCCTGTATATTAATTTTAACAAAGGTATGTGTATTTATTTCTACCAGGAACTTAACAAGAACATGCAATATTTGGGTCCACAGTAGGAAGGTCTATTAGATAGAAAGCCCAGTGCTCTAAATGACTCAGAACCCAGAATAAGACAAGGATATATAAGCAGTTACAACACAATATGATAACATTACATAACAAAGTTACCCAACAGGAGTTATGGATAATACTAAGGGAATAATGAGGACAGACAGAGTGATCAAGACACAAGAGACAACCCAAAAGTTGAGTTGAGACTTAAAATAAAAGAGCAATAATGTACTGGGCTTGTGAGATGAATTTTAAGGATATTTAGAAGGTACAAGCCTAGGCCCAATCAACATTTTTACCTTACAGTTTTAATCTTTTACAATGTAGTTTTAATCAAGAAATAAGGTATGCTTAAACTTAAAAATATCCTATTCTTTGCAGCCTTGTTTGGAATAGCAAAAAGAAAAATAAGGTAAAAAACAAAAAGGGGAAAGAATCTAAAGTCCACCAATAAGAAACTGGTTAAGTAAATTATAAATATACACTGAGATTCAAGGCAATCATTAAAATGAATGAGGAATATCTGTAATAATCTGGAATGTATTGAATTGGAATAATAACCATGATATTGATTTTTTTTATAGACAGAGGAGATTTAGCATAATTCTTTTTTTATGTATTAAATTTGGTTATTTTTTTTTTATTGCTTAAATACAAAGGGTATTACATATGTGTCCATTTTTTCCCCCCACCCTAGACAGTCCCCTAGCCTCCCCTATCCCCCAGTGTCTTATGTCCATTGGTTATGCTTATATGCATGCATACAAGTCCTTTGGTTGATCTCTTACCCCCCTACCTCCTGTCCCCCAACCCTCCCCTGCCTTCCCGCTGCAGTTTGACAATCAGTTTCAGGCAGCTCTGCCTCTGTATCTATTATTGTTCAAAAGTTTATAATGGTCTCTATTATCCATGAATGAGTGAGATCATGTGGTATTTTTCC